ACTATCGAGACAATTCCAACCAGAGCCAAGAGATCCAAAAATTCACTGAAAATTGACTGCACCATGGAATAACTAGCTTTAAGCAGAGCTTCTTGAGTGTGGCTGGCGTCAGCCATTAAACGCGACATTGTAACGGTGACAAGTAAAAGAAGCGACCAGAAGAGAGGAAGATACGGAACACATCGAGAAATAATGGCCATCATAGATTTATGGACGAAGTTCGTTGCGAACTCTAAACAACGTCCACTTAGAAAAGGCTTAAACTTGAAAAAGCCGTAAGAAGGCGTTCGTTTTCTGAAAGAACCCCTAGGGAATATTGCTCGACAGAAGAGGCGTAAATTGAACAAAACTTTCTCTACTCTATCCACAAAGCCAGGGCTAAAATGACGGTTGATTTAGCCCCCAAGGGAATGTGATCAACCGTTGCGAAGAATTCAATAATCTGTCAGAAAGACCGAAAGAGTAGAAATAAGCTTTTTTTTTTTGTTTTCTTTGACATGTATAGTTTCTTAAGTTTGTTTGGAGTTCTTTTGTGCTGACCACTACTCGTGAAATGAAAGCTTTTTGATTTCACTTGAAACTTATTTGCGTTTTTGCTTCAATCTATGGAAATATAAGTTCAAGATCTACATGTGAAGCAACTGGGGAAAAAAAATCAGGTTTGAATCTTTTTAAAGGTTAGCCTCCGAAATCCATCCATTCTCTTAAAAAGGAGTTTCATCGCTGTCAGTGGATTTACCTGAAGTTTTTATTCATTTGTAAATCTTATCCATCTTAAGCCATCTCGGTTCTTTTTCGGTGTAGTCTTGCATCTGTGGTATTTGTATAATCTGAAAAAATGTAATTGAAAAGTTTTTCCTAAAAGAAGAAAAAAAAAAACCAAAGCAACAAACAACAAAATTGACGACATGGCTCAAATAAACTCACGTTATTGATATAGAATTTTATCGTCCACGATGGTATATTGATTGCCTGTGGATCGTTTATACATATCTCAAAAAGGACAGACAGAAGTAAGCGGTTGAAGTCAAGACTACAAAGAAGAGAAGAATTTGTCTGAACTGCGGGCGTAAGGGTTAGGAGAGGGGATGGGTGAGCTTCGGAGCGGGGTTTGATAAAGAGACGATAAGTTATTTGTTATTTTTTCTGAGCTCTCGACAAGCTATAATAAATGATGCATACATTATATATTAAAGTAGCAAAACTAAAAATTTTTTCGAACACCAGTAGATCTTAAACTAAACTGTTACCTAAGTCAAATGTACAACAATAACACGTTACCACTTGCCTAGCTATGACCTATGTTTTCATTGAGACTTTCTGTCCACAATTTAAGGAGAGAAAGGTGAAGGCTCATTGGAGAAAGGTAAGGAAAATGTCAGAAACTAAGGCTATAGATGACAGGACTTAATTAGCCCTATAACTCCCAGATGTGTTTAACATGTAACGTCTCCCTATAATGTACATACATTATTCAGCAAACAGGTAATGAAAAAACTCAGACTTATCAGGTAGAAGTTGTGTGCGAGAGTTTCAGCTCCTTTGTGGGGAGGACCGCGCATAAGTTACTTCTAAGTTTGGACTTGACCACGAGCGAGAATTTTGAGAGCGAGAAGCTTTTTGTGAGAGAGAAGAAACCAGTTGTTTACAGTGATAGTAAAACGAAGAAAAACAGAATGCATCGTCTTGTTAAGAGTATTTGTAAGTGTACATGTCAGATGTTACCTAGATCCAACACCAAATTTGTATGGATAATTAATAAAATGTGTAACAGTCAGAAGGGAGATTTCAGTATCAGATCTTGGGACTTGGGTGGATGTTTACACAGTTTACATCTACAGTGGATCCTTTCCTTTTGGACACCTCTATACAGGGAGCATTTCCCTTCAGAGCCTAAAAAATCTTTAATCTATAAAGAGGGCCCTCTGGTTGAAATCCACCAATAGGGGTAGGTCGTAACTAAAACAGTCACAAGATCATAACCGTTTATGGTAAACTGCTGAAAATTGGCAAGAGGCAAGTATATGACCCTACGTACCAAGCAACAAGTAAAGTTGACCAGATCTGTTTATTCTTAGTTAATAGCTAACAAATACAAAGACTCTATCATTTTTAAACCTGTCTTCTGCCCCCTCCAATTCAAAGCACAAAATAAATCCAATTGAGCCAGTTTCAAGCATCATGGATCCACTTAAAAAGCACTACAAACCTATTGAGTGAAATCGGGTTTCGATCATTACTGTTGCCATGACAACCAATTCATTCCAAGTAAAGATCAACTCCTCAAAACTCCAATACTTTTCAATCAAACTGAATTTTGCTCAGTAGGCTTGTAGTATGTCATGTCAAATATTTGTGGCAAATTTGATGATTTTTGCATTAATACATCCTAAGAAACTTGAGGGAGCACCCAGATTTTCACAACTGAAATGTAAGGCAGCTGAAGAAGCAGCCAACTGCACTCTCCTTTTGTGGTGCCACTTGTGTTTAGGACATTTGTTTCACACCAGGGAGTTGATGAACTCATTAACATTCTGAGTATGACCAGGCAAGCATCTAGCAAGAAGGGCAGAATCTGTGAGCCTGTCATAAATCTTGACAAGACTGATGCCTTTCTTATTGGGCAGCTTCAGGCAGTGGAACAATCCATCCAGAATCTCAGTTTTCGTAGACTGCACAGCTTGGTCCCTCTCTTCAGTGGTTGTAATTTCTCTTTTTACATTGTTACGAATTGCCTTGCCATAATTCTTTTTCAGTTTCTCGATTGCAGCCTTTTCAGTCTTCCATTTCTTCCATAAATTGGTTTTAGATCCTTCAGTTTCACTGAGGATTTTTGAAATTCATAAAGTGCTTTCCAGAGCCGCTTTTGGACGTGTCCAATGCAGTCTAATTTCATGACCCTGTCACAGCCTGCAGTTCCAGCTAGGTGATCCTCTTCCCACTTCTCAAAACCTTCTGATGCTTTCCAGGTAACATACTCTTGGTCACTGTTTTGAAGATTTTCTTAATGGTGACAAGTGTCACAGGCACCATAAATGCTCCATATAGCGTTATATGCTTTCGAGTCCCCATCAGAAATCATCCACGTGTACCTGATAAAGTCCTACTCACTTCTTCCCCACATCCTTTTGGCACATTCCATCTCCATACTTGGGCTGGGGCCTTTATAAGAGCCTTCACAATGATAAGTTTGGTACCACTGTTCAAACTGGTCTTCAATCAGACTTGACTTCTTTTGTAAGCACATACCACAGGTTTTTGAAATAATTTCAAGGTCCAACACTTTGCCAGTTGCAGCAAAAATAACAAATCCAACGCAGTGATTAGCAGTATAACCTCATTTTGACCATGAACCATCAAGACTTACAACTACTGGCGACTTCGCTAGAGTTGTAACTCCTCGTAGCTGTGTATCCAGGCCTAAAAAATAATTTGTACATTTGGAATGAACTACGGGATTTTTGGGAACTTGGGAACGTGGAACAGAATTTTCCCTTTTACGTTTAAGCCTAGAAAATTTGGTTGCTTTGAACTGGTTACCATGGCAACGGAAAAACAATCTTCAAAACAACGCCGTTTTTTGACTCTGCAAAAAATTTTTTGCAAAAACAAACAGCAAATTCAAAATCTAGATAGATTCAAGTAAATTTTTTCAAACAAAATTAGGGCCACCTTAAAGATGTTGGAATAACCTTTTTATTTCTAAAGAGACACCTCCATTCGGATAGAAGGGAAACGTTCATGAGTTCCGAAGCCTTTAATTTGCAATCTTCATTTAGGGGACACCTTAACCTCTCAAGGCAAAACTGGCCACAAACAGGTGTACCTCAATCACAGCGATGACAGAATTTAGGAAATACAGCGACTGAGGCAATTAAAATATCTAAAGAACTGATGGAAAATGCAATATTTACAGGAAAAGAGCAATTGTCAGACCTCTTGCCATGGGTATAAGGCAATTTTCAGGAAATGACTGCATGAAGACTGAAACAGCCTGACATCACCAAAATTTTTGTCCACTGATTGCTCTGTGGAGGCTGAGGGAATCTTGAGCAAGCTCGCGAAATGTACACAGTGTCCTCTCTTTATGGGAACGCAGCACACAACACCGCAGAGATTTATGAATGTCATGCATGGCTTTTCCAAATTTAGCGGATCCCAAGCCAAAGAAATGAAAAGAGTATTTTCCTGTTGTCATCTAGATATTAACAAACACCCACCCAAGCCTCTACTCAAGGGACACTTTGAATGCGAAAAAAGTTGCAACTGTTTGGAAGAGACGTTCACCTTGCAACGGAAGAGTAGCAAAATAGTTTACCTCATAATCAACTGATAAACTTTTTTTTTTCCCCAGACGGTGCTTTTTGTTGCGTCAACGACAGTTTGGTTATGGTAAAAAGTGCTCTTTACTATATTTGAAGTTCTCACTTCCAATTAACAAGCACAGCTGCACTGAGGGCGAGGGTAGTTACTTT